CTCAGAATCCAGTCAATTAATTAGGACCATCATTGTCCTGACAATGGATTTCATCTCCATTGAGAGTGGGAAAGGAAACAATTCACTTTACAATGGAGACGCCTTTCAATATGTTACACCAGGTGCAGTGTCCTGCGTTGAAATGCCTGACACTGGAGCTGGACTTGCAGTCCGCACAAGGCACGGGACGGATAAGCAAGTGTGGGAACAACACACAAGACTCTGTAGCAATGTCAGTGACCGAGTGGCTTGATCAGGGCTGGCCGCAGTTCAAACTTAGATCGCCGATGGCTGACCCAAGCAGTTGGAAGTTTTTCCCAAGCAATTTGCCAGCAAATGAGGTTAGCGTGTAACAAAAATGGTCACTTATTTTTACAAAAGGGGGGAAGAAAAAGGAAGATTGCGAAGGGTCTCTTAAACCTTCATTTGGTTCTTCCTACTCTTGTTACTTTGCTTTGTGTCTGTTGCTGTAGGGTCGATTTTATGAGGTTTCTTAAATTAGGAAATGTTTTAAGAAAGACCGCAAACTTGACTCTGGTGTGAATGAGGATCTACAGAGTTGAATAGAGTAATGTTTCTTGAGTATTTGCAGGGTGGATTTAAACCGGGTTACGGGGCGAAGATTTTCGTGTGGTGAGCTTTCAATGTAGTTTTTGTTACCTGTAGAAAAGCCCAGTATGTTACCCCAGTTACTGTTGACTGTTGAGGGCGTAAGATTAATCAGAAATGATGAGCATTTACCGAGGTCACACAACACCCTCCGCGAGACAGAAAAATCATACAATCCTACAACACAGAAGGCCATTCAGCCCGTCGTGCCTGTGCCAGCTCTTTGGAAAAGTACCCAATTAATCCCACTCCCCCGCTCTTTCCCCATAGCCTTGCAGTTTAGCCAATTTCCTTTTGAAAGTTATTATTGAATCTGCTTTCACCAGCCTTTCAGGTCAAATACCATTGAACAAAATACCATTGACAATGCCTGCACTAGTGTGACAAATCCTGGTGCCGTTCGAATTGCAAAAGACTCGGAAGTTGCAAGCCAGTCGCGGGGTAGTACTGCAGCAATGCAACGGCAGTCATGCATCGCGGGTTGTTGCATGGCCCTTGGGTTGAGGTCTCCAGGGCGCTCGCTCATCGGGAATCCCTTATCTCGCTCTCCCCGTTTCCAGGAGCTGTAAAAATAACAAGCGCCTTTAGGAAGCCCTGTGGAGGAAGTCAGGGATCGATCGGCAAATGTTTCTGCTTGTCTCAGTGATCTATAGCGTGCCCTACCAGTGTGGAAAGTTCATGTGTTGAGTCAATAAATACATGGATACTGAGAAAGTCTTCCGAGTAATTGTAAATACTGGGGTCCTTTCACCATAACCCACATTTTTTTTCCAGTGCTTCTAAAATTGCATTTTTCGCTTATCTAAAGTCCTTTACAAAACAAATATTCTCCATCAAAGATTGTGCTTTCAATTTCTACAGTAATTAGCAGAGGTTTCTGCTCTGACTGCCACATTGCCTGGAGCCTCTGACTTTCTGCTGCTCAGTTCTGCTGCATTGTTCCAACAGAAATTGGAGCAGGAGTCAAAGATCAGGGAATTTACTGTCTGAGGATGACCGGCTGAACAAGAGGCGATTCCTGCCTTCCAATTTATTTTGCATTGTTTGATGTGAATAAAAGTCAAATTAGAATGCATTTTTCCGCATTTTTTTTCAACACAAAAGCTTCCTGTCTTGAGTTGTTAAACGACTCGTTGAATAGAGCAAAGGGACCCAGTGTCCTGACCAACAATTCCCCAAATAAAAAAAAAATCGATGGTCGTTTGTGTGACTTCGCCGTGCGCAAATGGGCTGCTGCGTTCACCTACAAATACATGGTCACTCCACTTCACAGTAATATTTTACAATTGCGTTCGCCCATAAAAGTTATTGCACTTTACACTAAAATCCTGTGAAGCACTTTGAAACGTCGTCCCGACGTGGAAGGCCACTGGAGCAAACACAAGGATTCGTCTTTTATTGTTGATAGATTGTCCAATGTTGGCATCAAATTTGCAATGGTTCTCAATAGGTTTTTGTTCAAATTCTCAATGCCAGGGTGATTCCCACCCAAGCAAGTTTCAGGTTGCCTCGAGTCAGGGAGTGACATAATTCCAGCCCACACAACCCCCAACCCCCCAATTCTTCATTAATTTCTTAATTAAGAAATATCGCAAAATTGAGGCCAGTGTCTATATCCCAAAGCTTCCCTTCAGATCCAGGTCAAGCTCATGTCACAGAACACGAAACACTCGGATGATCATTAAGTCTCTGTGGCCCCAATGAAACAATAAAAATAAAAGAATCGAGATTTTGCTGGACTGGACAAGTATGAGCAAACTTAAATTGTGAGGTCTGAATCCATTATTTTCCCCCAACGTTATTAAATCTACTGATGACAGAATCCTGGGGGGGAAACTCACACATTCAGAGATGTTCCTGGGGGACATCAGGAAAGAGCGGACAGGTTGAAACTTTTCTCTGTGGAGTTGAGGTGATTGAGAGGTGACCTGATAGAGGGGTTGGACGATTATAGTAATAATAATAATCCTTGCACTTGATATAGCGCCTTATCATGTCGTTGAGACGTCTCAAAGCGCTTCACAGACTGTACTGTAAAATGGATTGACTGTATATTTTGTGGGCAAAATGCGGCAGCCAATTGCACAGAGCAGCGTCCCACAAACAGTTGTGGATTGAGTGACAAAATTATTATTATTATTTTAATTATTAATTTGAAGGAAAGCGATCTGCCAATCGACTAATAACCGGGAATTCCTACTTACTATTAGGTAAACAGAGGAATGTGTCTGAAGTCAGAAAAATTGCCTAAGGTTTCGCCCAGTGGAGTATAAACACTGCATGGACCAGTTGGACCAAATGGCTTACATCACTCTATATAACTTTACGTAATTAGTAGGTGACAGTAGGAGACCTAAGATCTGCTTAGATTTCAGGTTCCGCTTGTGTCCATTCACAATTAGGTAAGCAGGATGTGTCCCTCAGGGAGAGAGTGCAGTTCCATTCCCAGACAGGGAAATTTCCATAAGTTGGTGGAACTTAGTCTGAGTTCGAATACGCTTAAGCATGCAGATGGGTTTTCGAACGTGTCGGACACGGACCTGACCAAAACAAGCTCTTCCCCTACAAACACACACACACACACACACACTCACACACACACACACGCGCGCGCCCTGTTAATGACCTGTTAGAAAATCCCAATTATAAGGTTCTTAGATGGTTAGTGCTTTCAACGTGACGGCATTGTAAAACACCATTGGAATAAAGACGTGTTTACCAGACTGAATAATAAGGTGTTAAAGTACAACTAAGTATCAGATTTAGATGAATTTCTGTGCAAACTTCATTTTCTGCACCATGTAATTTGGTAGTTAAATGGAATCATGTGCTTTCAGTTCAACAATACAGTGGATTTTCATATTGCAGATTTAAATTAGAATGACTGCACTTTGGGATTCATTATAATAATAATCCGAGCATTTGACTACCTTTCACATGGGGAGGATGTCTAAAAGCGCTTCACGGGATATATTGTAAAGTGCAGTAACTGTGTATTTCATGAGCAAACGCAATTATAAAATTAATGGTGTACAGTCACTGTCTGTTTCCTCACTAAAAACACAGCAGTGGTGTTTGTGATAAGGTGTGACTGACGGCAACACTTAGTGGGGTGAAAACCAAGAAAAATCCCCTGAAGTGAGGGATCTAGAGATTGGAAGATTGTTCTTTTGCATTTTAAGGAGAACAGATCGCAAGAGACAGGAGGTGAATTGCCTCCTTCACAGAGATCTGGATTGGGAGTCAGGTTGGGAAGTGCAATGGGAAGCTTTTGGGGTCGGCACAGCCTGGGATGTGGAGGAGAGGAGCCAGGGTTGGTTAGCGGAGCCATGGAGAGAGGTCACTTCTCTTTTTTTGGTGACTGTGTGGAATCAGGCAAGATAAGATAGGGTGGGCTCCATTGCTGCATGGAGGTCCCTCCAACCCTCACCAAGAAACTGAGCAGTTACTGCAGCGGTCGAAGGGCAATTTCAGGACAGACTCCAGGAAGTATTTTCTTTTTTACCTGGAGGGTAATTAACGACTGGAACAAGTTGCCAAGTAGGGTGGCTGAGGCCAGGACACTGGGACTCATTTAAAAAAACAAACAGCTGAATGGGGGGATGGAATGAGATCAGATACGGCAAATAACGCTATTCCTGATCGGAATAACGAGTTCTAAAAATTGGATTCGCACAATTCTGTCCAGACAAAAAAAAACAGATCCAACCCCCGTGGGTAGGAGCAAAGTCCTATCCACGTGAAAGAAACTATAACGATAGAAATTGCATAAAATAAGAGTTCACATTATTTCACATCAAACTTTGCATTCCTGATTTTTTTTTGCCGTCTTCTTATTTTTTCTTAAAAAAAAGGAATAATTAATACTTATCGATCAACCGAAGAGGAGATGTTTCAGAACATTCTTTACCCCCATTGGCCAACCCATCATTTAACATCCTCGGGGCTACCAAGCTTGTGCGTTGCCACGGTTCCCGAAATGGTGGCAGTGAAGGGAAATGGAGTACAATTTGGCGCTAATCATCTCGCCTACTTTCTAGCCTTTCGTCCTGTCGCTCGCCTAACGTTTTCCAAAAGGGGGATCAAGCCCTTTGGAGGAATGGCCTTGCCTTGTTCCCTCTCCAGGCTTCTTTCCCTGTTTCCTGCCTCTCTCATAAGAACACAAGAATTTGCTCGGCGAAAGAAGACCAAGGTCCATCCAGTTCTCCTTGCCTTCCACCATCGTGGTAGTCGCATTTCATCTCTCTCTCTCTTTTTTCTCCCCCACCTCCCTCTCCATCTCCCTCTCCCTCTTCCCCTCCGCTCCTGTGTTTCGTGGACACCTGCAATTTTCACAAACAAAAAAATAGGGGTTTACGCCGAGCAGAAAGTTTAACGTAAAAACCGGCGGTTCATTTTGTCGCTAAAGGTGTCCGTTCGACTGCCGCCATCTTTATCGGGTTGAAGCCCTGTCGCTCGGCCTGGAGATGTGCGTGGAGCCCCGCCGAGCTTTCCCTTTCCCTCTCCCCCCCTCCTCCTCCTCCTCTGTGAAAAGTCTGGTTCCTCAGGAACTGTGCGGGGGCCTTCTCGTAATTCCACTGCGTGGAGCAGGTGGACTCATCCTCCACCACATAGTCCTCGTGAACCAGTATCGGCGTGGAGCCGCCTCTCCTCCGCTTGGAGCTGTCATCGTGAGGCGCGATGGAATATTCCAGAAAAGAGTGGCCGCTGCCCGGGTTGGCCCCCAGCGAGGACCTGTAATGGCGGCTGGGGGGCGGGTGCTCAAGGTTCTCCCTCGCCCCGTGTGAGTAATAGTGGTTCTCCATCACCAGCTCGTTGTCGTCCTGCTCCCACTGTGGGGAATGGCGGGAGGTGGGGACTGCCCTGATCCCGGCCAGGTGGTGATGATGGGCAGCCATTGCCGCGGGTTCCACCAGGATCATAGGCCCCGTCACCATCTGCTGCTCCCCCCTGAGGCCCGCGGAGGAGATCAGGCTCTGCTCCCAGTCCAGGCCACCCAGCACCACCATCCCCCCCGCCGCGCTGCGTTTCTGCTGCAGAGGGGTCTGCTCGGGCGTGGGCAGAGCGGCAGAGTCCAGGTGGTGTTGGCTGGTCCTGATCAGTTGGTTCTTGGGCCAGCCGTTCTGCATCAGGGGTGCCAGGAGGGTCTCGGACTGCCCCCCGGCCCTGCGCGGCTCCACCATGCCCCCCAGCTTGCTGACACTGACCACCGACTCGCTGTGAGCCAGGATGGTCTCCTTGTCTTTCCTGCGCGCTGTGTCCTTTTTGTCCCGGTGGCCGATGAACCAGCACACGCTGAAGCCCGAGACCACCGCCCCGATCACGAAGGCGGCGATGGCCGACACCACCAGCAGGTTGACGGACACCAGGCCATTCGGTTCCTCGACGAAGCTCTCGTGGAACAAGCCTGCAGCCGGCAGAGAGAGATTCGCAAATTTATTGGCCATAAACGTTTGGGGCCCAGTTTTGCACTGTTCGATAATCCTCCGTTACCAATCTGTCCGCTCCCTCCGCTCGGCAGGCGCTGGCCTCTTGAACTCCACCCCGGAGTCCCTCTGCCTCACTACATCCCTTGCCTCCTTCAAGGCCCGTCTCAAAACCTTCCTCTTTGACCACTCCTTCAGCCACCACCTTCCCACCAACCCCTCTTCCCCTCCACCCCACTCTGGTCCCAACCCCCAGCTCGGGTGCAAATCCTTCACTGCCAGCGCTTTGGGATGTCCTCCCGGACGTGAAAGGTGCTAAATAAATGCAACACTTATCGCACTGTTAGTCTCAAAGCGCTTCACAGGATTTAATGTATAGTGAGTGCAGTGACTGCGCCGCAGCTAATTGGCACAAAGCCTCAAAGTGAGTGACAGGTTTCACCAAGCTTGACCAGGGAACTGGGGGAGAGAGAAACTCCCTTCTCTTTTCAAGTCGTGCCACAGGACGCTTAACATCCACCTGAACGGGTAGACTATGTATTGGACCATCAGCGTCCCGTTGGAGCGGGAGCCCAGGCTGTGAGCTCAGAGATCCCGACGTGGGGCTTGAACCTGCAGCCTTCTGACTCGGAGGAGAGAGAGCGCGCCTGGAAACCAACACTGTTTCGTACTAAGGGTTTAGTTTCTAAATCATCAAATCTGCTTAAGGATATCTTAGAACTTCACTAACTGGATGTTCTTGTGGATAAATCTATTAAGAAAGACTGCCATTTAGACCCCAATTAAAGTCTATTGACCCATTGAGGAGATAGATAACAGTGTGTGTGGGACACCTTCCAATTATCCTCATTCATGATTACCAGGGCTCACTATTAGTTAAGACAAAATTGATTTTTAAATACCAAACGAACACAGGACGGATGTGCACTTTACAATGCTTTAGCAGTTTGAAATGTTTCAGGGCTTCATGGGGTAATTATTGTGCAGCATTGCACAGCTCTGTAATAATAATCCTTACATTTGATATGGTGCCTTATCACGTCTTCAAGACATCTCAAAGGGCTTCACAGAATATACCGTAAAGGGAATTGACTGTATGTTTTGTGGGTGAAACTTGGCAACCAATTGCGCACAGCAGTGAATGTATTGTAAAGTATAGTCACTATTTGGTTAAGGGTTCAATTGCAATCTCTCGCTTGTGGAGTGGATGAAAAGGAAAATAATAGACAAGATCATTTTTTTTAAAAAACACACTCACCTTCGCAGTCCCCCAGATGGGTGGTGTTTCCGTACTCCACGTCCTGTTCAAAAGGCAGGCTGTGCGAGACAAAAGACTCATCAGTTTACAGGTAAGAACATGAGAACGTAAGAATTTGCTGGCGAAAGAAGACCAAGGTCCATCTAGTTTGCCTTCCACCATCCTGGCAGTCGCTTGACATGTCCCAAACTTTAGACTGTTCCCCAAATATTATTTTCTAGCGGACATCTATTCAAGTTGTTCTTCAAACAAACAAACGGTTTACTGCAACAACAACGAAATTACATTTGTAAAGCGCCTTTCATGTCGGGAGGACGTCCCAAGGCGCTGAACAGTCAGGGATCAGGACCCGAGCGTGGGGGTGGGGGTGAGGGTGGGGGGGAGCAGGGTTGGGGTGAGGGAGGGCAGAGGGGGTAGGAGGGCGGCTGAAGGCACGGTCGAAAGGGAGGGCCTTGAGTCGTGCCTTGAAGGAGGCGAGAGAGGGAACGAGGTGAAGGGATTGTGGGATGGAAAAGAATTCGGCAACATCTGATGGACTAGCTATTTGCATTATTTTCTGATTAAAACTTTGAGACGTTTCAAAGCGCTTCACAGAATATACTGTAAAATAAATTGACTGTATATTTTGTGGGCGACACGTGGCAGCAAATTGCAGACGGCAGCGTCCCACAAACAGTCGTGGATTGAGTAACCAAATTATATATTTTTGTTGAAGGGATTATTACCCCTGGAAAACGATTCGCCACTTGACTAACAACCGGTTGGGTTCCTACTTACAGCTAGGTACGTAACAGAGGAGCGCGGAGTAAGGAAACTTGCCCAACGTTTCGCCCTGGAATCGAACCCAGGTCCTCTAACCGTTAAGCTAATGGAGTATACTGAAGAGGCGTTAAAAACTCCTTTCCATTTGTCGGCAGTGTGTGCGCGGAGGTGTAAATCAGGCCCCACTTTACTGGGGCTGTCATGAATCTACCTGGTTCCGGGTTCCAAGTAGGCACATGTCCCGTCTCCGACCCAACCGCAGTAGGGGTCCTGGGTGCCAATGCAGCTCCTTGAGAGACAAGATTTAAGACCAACTATTAGGAAATAAACAAGTCTGAAGCAGTCATTTCTTAAAGTTCCCCAACTTTCTTCCCTCCTCACACCCTCCAGACCCTGATTAAGATGGATTACAGTTCCCAATAGCATTAATCTCCCCCCCCCCCCACCCTGGTCACCCTTTTTCCTCATGCAACCAGATTCTCTGCCCAGGTGGCAATTTCTTACACAGCCAGTAGGGGGCAGTGCCAGCCTCACCAACACTCCCCATCCACCCACCACACCCCCCCCACCCCAACCCCCTCCCAGAGCTGGAGATGTGAGATACAGAAGTCTGACTGACGTTGCTGTTCATTGACTGGGGATGAGGTCATTGTTGACGGACACTTTCCGAGAGAGAGAGAGAGAGAGAGGGGGAGAGAGAGACATTTTCTGCAGAGAGGACGCCCATTCAGTCAGTCGCGCTCTCGTGCTCTTGATTTAGAAAGTAGTGGTTCAACCCCCATGTCAGGAATTCAGTCTGGGCTGATACTCCAATACAGAGTAGGGGGAGCGCTATATGGTTAGTGGTGCCGTCCTTCAGATGAGACATTAAACCGAGGTCCGCTTGTCCAGTTGGATGTTAAAGATCCCGAGACAGTTATTCAAAAAGAGAAGGCAGTTTCTCTGTCCCGGTATCCTTGCCAACAATCCCTCAGATAAACAGGTCCATTCACTTCATGGCTGTTTTTTTTTAGGGTGGGGGGTGGATGTTGTGTGCAAATCGAACGCCTCGTTTTCCTACAGAATACTCAGTCGCTGCTCTGCAGTAAATTCCTGTGCAGCGCTTCGAGACATCTCGACGACGTGATAAGGCGCTGGATCAACTATAAGCATTATTATGATAAATCCAATTCCCACTTTGCACTGTATTTTTCCAATTGAGATAATGGGATAAAACGGTCTGTAAGTTCACTCACACCGACGCTCTTATGTGATGATTGACAGCATTGGCTCACACGAATGCAAGGCTCCGCTGACAATTCAGCGAGGGGTGCTTGACATCTCTCAATCAGTGGCAGATCCCAGCCCTGAGCTCAATAACGTCACCTCATTGTTTTGTCAGCGGACGACTTGTTCCTTCCAATTTCATTAATAAATTCTAAATTAAATTCTGGCCTGCCAGGGCTACTGGGAGCTGCCTTCATCGATCAGGATTTATGTTACTGACTATCCTTACTTCAGTTCTGTCGGAATATGATTTAAGCTCCCGTCTCCGAGGTGAAAAGGCAGTCTCTCTCTGTCTCAGGTCTGTTATGGGAGCGCTTTATGTGTTGCTTAAAGCATATTCTTTCACAGTACGTTCCGTTTAATTAATTTAATTCACATTAAATCCCACCAACCCGGATTTCTTCCCACCTCTGAGCCACCAGGGCTCAGGTCTAGCGAAGACTGAAACCCACCCTCGCATCTTATTTGCTGTGAGGGTCCCTGTGCGAGAGGAGTCTGAGCCCAGTCGCCAGTGGTTGTGGGGCTCAGCACAAACCTGACCTGGATTCAGCACCAAATTGTCAATCTCGCTCCGAGAGGCCACGGGATGGCAGATACGGGTGACGGAGAATGTCAGACTAGTGCAGCAGGGGGCACTCTTCTGAGGCTGGTGCTGTGGCCAGGCATTGGGATTAACTAGAGGAGCTTTATCTTATCCTAACCCATCCCATTTTGAAATAACCCCAACAAATGACATTTACACGGTGCCTTTCACATCAGGAGGGCGTCCGGAGGCGCTGGACAGTCAGGGATCCGCACCCGAGCTGGTGGTTGGGATCAGGAACGGTGGAGGGTGGGGATGATAGGGATAGGAGGGTGATCGAAGCTGCAGTCAAAGAGGAGGGTCTTGAGATGGGTTCTGAAGGATGCGGGGGGGTGGTGGGGGGAGCAAAACAGACCAGGGAAATGCCCGAAGCTATCGCCGGATTCTGTAGTCCACAACAAACGTCGCTAACTTCGATGAGCACAAAATTATCTGCTTTGGGGACGTCGTCCTGACGTGAAAGGCGCTATATAAATATAAATTGTATTGTAGACTTCATCACCAAACAAAAAGCGAGCAGCTTAAACAAGGGGTTACAGTGGGGCTTGTTGTTCTCCCAACGCGTGCATTTCCGCATCTCAATTAAACACTTCTCCTGATCTCTGCAGCTTTTGTTTTAAATTTCTTTCCCATTTGTTTTACATCGGTCCTCACCGATTTTACCCTCCAATCCCTTTTCGAGACAAACCTAGCGCAAGCAACACATCCCCGAGGCCACTGTGGGGGGAGGAGGGGAGGGAGGGAGGAGGGTGGGGTCGGGTGCATCGATATGCAGCACAGGAAAAGCATTAAAAATGTGTCAAATTTCGTTCGCTCCGCACTGTGTTTCAATTGATTGAATTTCAATCCACTTTTGCTGCTGAATACGGCATTTCTTCCTTTCTCTGTAAAATGACACTGAATGAATGTTGAGCCTGCGATGGCCTTTGGTGAGTGGGCGATACATATATCATTGTGACGACTGACTCTCTGAACAAAACGCCAGGCCCTAATTTGCCCAGAGTTAGAGTTATCGGGGGTGTGGGGGGGTGGGGGTGGGAGAGGGGGCTGGGGGTGAAGTGATAAACAAGGTCCCAGGTTTCAGTGCAGACCTGTCCTGGTGATTAGCCGGAGCAGCAAATAAATAATTAGCCCTTGTATTTGATGTAGAACTTTATCATGTAGTCAAAATGTCTCCAAATGCAGTGACTGTCCATTTTGTAGGTGAATGCAGCAGCTAATTTGCCACAGCAATGTTCCTGAGCCGGGCTGACACACACTGAGCCGGGCTGACACACACTGAGCCGGGCTGACGCACACAGAGCCGGGCTGACGCACACCGAGCCGGGCTGACACACACTGAGCCGGGCTGACACACACTGAGCCGGGCTGACACACACTGAGCCGGGCTGACACACACTGAGCCGGGCTGACACACACTGAGCCGGGCTGACACACACTGAGCCGGGCTGACACACACTGAGCCGGGCTGACACACACTGAGCCGGGCTGACACACACTGAGCCGGGTTGACCCACACTGAGCCGAGCTGACCCACACTGAGCCGGGCTGACACACACTGAGCCGGGCTGACACACACTGAGCCGGGCTGACACACACTGAGCCGCGCTGACACACACTGAGCCGGGCTGACACACACTGAGCCGGGATGACACACACACTGAGCCGGGCTGACACACACTGAGCCGGGCTGACACACACTGAGCCGGGCTGACACACACTGAGCCGGGCTGACACACACTGAGCCGGGATGACACTGGACTGGACTGACATACACTGAGCCGGGCTGACACACACTGAGCTGGGCTGACCTACACTGAGTGAGCCCGGCTGACACTCTTGGCCTGGAATTGTGTGCGTGTGTCTGTGTGTCTGCGCGTATGTGCGCATGTGTTGGACTCACTTCATGCATGTGGCGTGTTGCTCGCAGTGGGAGTATGTTACACGCATGACGCAGGAGGAAAAGGCGACGAGGAGAGTCCCGCTGGTCTTGTCCAGCTCCAGCCCCACGATCTTTCTGTTCTCCCGGCCATCACTGTCACACCTGGAACAGAGAGGAGGTCGCTAAAGAAACCTAGTCAATGTGGACAAAACCCCTCCATCCCTCCCTCGCTCATTCTCCCCTCTCTTCTTCCCCTCCTCACTCATTCTCACTCTCCCCCTCCCTCGCTCTCCTTCGTCCTCTCTCTCCCTCCCTCCCTCCCTCCCACTCACCCCTCGCTCACTCTCATTCTCTCCTCTCCCTGACTCTCCTCACCCACCCTCCCCCTATGAGCTTCTGTTAATTGCCTCTGCACACAAGGGAAAACTCAACAGTCCCCTTGCGTCCACCTGCAGGTATTAGCCTCGACACTGAGGACAGGACAGGACAACTCGATCACAGGCCTGGAGATCCCAGCTGACCTCCAACGCCTCAGAGTGGGAGGAACAGCAGAAGAGACAGGTTGGGCGGGGGAAGCCTGGCTGAGGTCCTCAGCTCCCTGTTGTTTCTGTTGTTGGTGCCTTCATCTCAGAATAAACCCGCCTTGTCCATTTGCCATTAACACATCCTTTTCCTCTGGACTGCAGCGACTGCCTTCCGTGACACTGTAGCCTTTGCCTTGTTAAGACATTTCGTTGGGAATCTCGCCCTCCCTTCTCCCTCTCCGTGCGCCTAAAATCCAGCTCCTCAGAGCAGATTGATTTGCATTCAATTGATCCTTATCAGAATTTGAGAGCCTTTCATCATAGCTCCTTTTAACCTGCGGAGCTGTAATGAAAATAACCTCTGCTCTCCCTATCCATCCTGGTAATTCTTGGAGCTGAGCCCAGGCATAATTTTTCAGCTCTATCCACCATATCTATATTCCTCTGTCGCTGCACACAGTAAATCCAGATGCTATTTTGCAGTTTGCAATTGTACATTATTTGATTTTTTTTGATCTACATCCAAAAATTCTGTTTGCCAGTTTTGTGCTAAGGTTTTTCTCCGCTCTCCTGAGCCTGGTGACTCAGGCAAGGTGGGGAGGTGGGGGTGGGGGGAGGACTCCTCCTACGCTCTACAACACTCCTCACCTCCCTCACTCTTCCCTCCTTCCTACACTCAACACTCCCCTCCCTCCTACACGCTACAACACTCCTCACCTCCTTCACTCTTCCCTCCCTCCTACACTCTACAACACTCCTCACCTCCCTGACTCTTCCCTCCCTCCAACACTCTACAACACTCCTCACCTCCCTCACTCTTCCCTTCCTCCTGTTGTCCGATCATTAAACTACAAGTTTGTCTGCTACCTGACTCATCTTGTCTACTTCCCCTCTCTTTCCAACTCTGGTTTTGTCCTGCAATGTTACGCATGGACCCAGAGCTGTCAACGCATAAAGCTCTATCTGTATTCAAGACAAGAACAAAGCATCACATACATTTCCGGGTTGTAGGCATCAAAGTCTTCGATAAACAGGCTCCGATTCACCATATTCATGCTCGCTGTGGGTCTGATGAGGAACTTGAGGATAGTGCCAGTTTCTGAGCCTAGGAAGACCACTGTGTGATTCCTAAAGGGACCGGCCTCTGTGTCCACCACAATCTTAGTCAATCGATCCCTGGGCAGGAAAGGAAGACAAGCGATCCATTATAGAGGCGAAAGCCAACATGATTCCTGGCATCAACACATCAATGGACCTCCCTCCCTCCCTCCCCCCTCACCCCCCCCCCCCCCCGCTCAGTATAACAAAGCCCCAAACCTCCGGAACTCCCTGGCCTCAATCCCTCCATCTCGCCCACTCTTTGCCCATCTTCAGATCACACTGGATACTTTCCTCTTGGACTGTGCCTACGGTCACCTCCCCTTTCTTTCTGACGCGGGGGCCAAACCCCACCACCGTTAAGCGTTCCGAGATGCTGTTTTCTTCGTTAAACACCATTTGCTCAGAGCCGCGAGGCGTCGCCCTATGTGAGGGGCACTCTATAAACATAAGTCGTTCCCACGATCACACGATTCATTTGGTTGACACTCGCACGTGATGGGACACCTCACAATACAACCCCAGAGGAGGGATGCCATCGACAGTGGATCCAGGGCTTAGATTCTTCCCAAATCCCAGTAACATATGTGGAAAATATTCATGTGAAACCAGAAGCCATAACATGTAATATTCTGTGGAGTGAATGCAGTCAACACAACAACGACTGAATCTGTAATTAGTGTTTGGCTGTTGGAAATTTGCCACATTTACTTCCAACTGAATAAACACGAAAGTGTTTCACATCAGTCAGAACTTCACAAACAACAACTTGTGTTAACGCAGTGGCCTTCACGTGGGGTAGCGTCTCGGAGCCCTGCACGGTGGCAGGACTGAGCCGAGCGAGGAAGAGGTGACCGACCGTAAGCGCAGTCGAAGAAGTGGGTTTTCATAGAATCGCAGAATCATACAGCACAGAAGGAGGCCCATCGTGTCTGTGTTTGCTCTTTGAAAAGAGCTTCCAAATCAATCCCACTCCCCTCACGCTCTACCCCTAGCCTTGCAAACTTGTCCTCCCCAAGTATTAAAGCGTGTTTTAAAGATAGATAATTTCTGTCACACGTGGAAACCCATCACCGTTATTTATGAGAATCCAAACCAAACTGAGATTTCCATGCATCCCACCTACACATGGAAATCCCAAAGAAAGATAAAACGTGGGGGTGGTAGTGATGATGGGGTGGGGTTTGGAGAGATTGAGACAGGAAGTTCCTGAGGAAAGGGACATATGGGGGGAATGCGAGGGGAATTTGGAGAACGATGCATTGCAATGGGTTGACACAGTGACCTCTAGGCTCTGGGTTCAAATACAGCCCTGAATGAGGGGATGAAAGTCTTCTAGGTCAGCGAGGGTCCCTATAGCCAGTCACAGTGAAACGCTTTGAGGACGTGATGAGACTACATCAAATGCAAGGATTATTTTTAGTATTATTATGATAAGGACTTGGATGGACAGACCAGTCACTGGGGGCAGGGAATCATCTAGTGTTAACCCTGCGAGCCAAAAGCCCTAATGGATAAGGTGTTCCTGGACAAACAGCGGGAAAGCTTGCCAGAGAGCAACATCAAAGGCAAGCTGTGCGGTTTTAGCTGGTTACTCCAGCAGTTACCTCCAACACATACTCTGGGGTCCCCAAGGCCTTGGCTCTTGCCAACCTGCACCTAATACTTTCCGGAATTAGGCTAAACAGGATGCATCGCTTCATGGAAAGAGTGCACATTCCATTCCAACAATCTATCTCTGGGATTTCCATGTGTGGGCGGAATACATGGAATTCTCAAGTTTGGTTCGGAAACTCTTAAGCAACGGTGATGGGTTTCCGCGTGTGTCAGACGCCCGGCCGAGCATGAAAAAAGCTGATCACGATGTTTTCAGACTTGAATTAAATCCAAGCGCTACATGTCTGGCACTGAGAACAAACTGACTGAATGGACAGCAGAGGTCACTGTTGCTATCTCAGGCCTCAATCACACACTTGTCATTTTTGTGTAATTTTTATTTATAATATTCATCAATATTTCTGTTATCCCAATTTTTCTTGGTGCGGAGCAAGCAGGTGGAGGGAAACTCCCAGATTTTGAGCGATCTTTTTTGATCGGCCCACCTAATTGGACGTTAAACGCTGATAATTAATTTTTCTACGATTTGAAGGAAATTGGAAAATCTGCCAAATTGATGATTTTTACCGATTGAAATCGGAAGCCTATGCCGGCCCGGCTCAGCCGGTAGCGCTCTCGCCCCTGTATTCCGAAGGTGGTGCGTTCAAGCCCCCACGTTAGACCTTTGAGCTATCATAATCTAATATGTCACTGTAGTGCAGCGCTGGGCGGGCGGGGGGTAGGGGGGGGGGGGCTGTTGCATTGTTGGAGGCGCTGTCCTTTGGATGAGATCTTAAATCAAGGTCCAACTGAGAGCTACCACTGCGCCAGATGACCCACAAATTATATAATAATAATCCTTGCATTTGATACAGCGCCTTATCATGTCTTTGAGACGTCTCAAAGTGCTTCACAGGATACACTGTAAAGTGAGTCAGAAGTCAGAAGATTGTGGACGAAACGTGGCAGCCAATTGCGCACAGCAGCGTCCCACAAAGAGTCGTGGATTGAGTAACCAAATTATTATTATTTTATTTTGAAGGAATTATTACCCCCGGAAAAGCGCTCCGCCAATCGACTAACAACCAGGTTCCTACTTACTGTTAGGAAAACAGAGGTGTTTATCCTTATTTATGATTTATTTATTATTTACTATTGTTCGACCGTGCTTACGACCACTTCCCCTTTCCCCCCGGCTCGGAGTCGGGCTCCGCCACTGTTAAGTGCTCTGAGACTCTGTCCTGCATGGAGGGCGCTACAGAAGTGCAAGTTGTTGTTGTTATTATTTATCCAATAAATAATTATTCTTATTGATTGCCTTTGAACCTCACCTTATGGTTGTCTTTATGATCCAGGGCCTGTGGCTGAGTGAAGGCACAGCGCCATCCATCAGGGGGTGAGTCTTCACGAAGTTTAGCATCTCATCGGAAAACCCGTTGGACGAGTTGTAATTTGTCCCCGGTCCTGCACAGCAGCCGGGCCTGTGTGAGAGTGAGAGGAGATAGGTTCTGCCACTCAGTCATAAACTCACCCAAAAAAAAAAGTGTGTGAGCGTGCGAGTGTGAGCGAGTGCGAGAGCGAGTGTGAGAGCGAGTGTGAGAGTGAGCGTGAGAGCGAGCGAGTGCGAGAGCGAGTGTGAGAGCGAGCGAGTGCGAGAGCGAGCGAGTGCGAGAGCGAGCGAGTGCGAGAGCGAGCGTGAGAGCAAGCGAGTGCAAGAGCGAGTGTGAGCGCGAGCGAGTGTGAGAGCGTGTCTATTGTTCTGTCGCCTGTGGTTGGGCGTGTTATTACCTGGGAGATGGTACCAGCTCCTCGGGAACCGGTGTCCAGATGGAGTCGGGGGATTTCTGCTGTTTGAAATGCCTTGTGAAGACGCTGGTGATCTCCTCCATGTCGAAGGCACAGATGGCAGAGCCGGGAATACTGGGGAACGAAACACGCAGCGCCAGGTGGATTAGTCACGTCGCTCACAGCTCTGTCATGGTTTCTTGTGGCAGGTATCTCAGCCGCGCTGCCCACCCATCAGAGGTGCCTTTCCCCGTGGGTCAGACACCCGGCTTGGGAACAAACCAATTCCTAATCACAATGGGGCAATAACCCAGGGCAGGTCCTGATGTTGGGGTCTCCATTTCACTCGGAGGCCAGGACTTCAGGATTGGAACAAATCCAACAACAACAGTTGTTGTAAAGTGTAGTGACTGTGTATTTTGTGGACTAAACAAGGCATTGCCATGACAGCCCTTCAAAACCTGCTCAATGGACACATAAATGCAAGCATTATTATTATTATTATTATTTTATTATTATATCTCTTACATAACACCCCCCACCCCAAAACTTAGTGAAAGATTTTGTCTGTAAACCGCTTATTTTTTAGAACAGCCCAACGTCAACCAAAGCTATTGCCAGCCGGGAGGGAGCAAATGAAATCAATTGGTGAACGAAGCGCTTAAAATAATCCTTACATTTGGTACAGCGTCTTTCCCATCGCGAAGCTCGCCAATTTACCCCTAGCAAATGTCCCACAAAGAGTAATGAAGTGAGTGACCAATTTTATCTGTGGGGGCTTTGTTGGCCAGGCCACCGGGAGAGAGTGAAACTCCCTTCTCTTTTCCAAGAGTGGCAGTGTCAGATTTTCCGTCCTTTGGGTTAGATGTTTAAACCAAGGTCCTTTGTGTCTGTTCAGGTGGACGTTAAAGATCCCCCAAATAAAACCGATCGCTCATTTTCATGGCTGTATGTGGGGTGTTTGCCCACAGAACACAAGGTCACTACACTTTACCGTATATCCAATGAAGCGATTTGAGACGCCCTCCTGACATGAAAAGTGCTGTGTCAAACGTAAGGTTTATTATTTAGTACTACAACTTCTCATCTCTTAGTATTGTCTGCGCGTAACGTCTGCTGTGATGTTGTCCACAAAATACACAGTCAATTCACTTTATTCTGTGAAGTGCTTTGAGATGTCTCAAAGATGTGATAAGGCGATATATCAAATGCAAGGGATTATCATTATTAATATTGTTATCCGTGTGCACTCTATCCTCTCTCTGACTTGGATGTTTTTTCTACAATGGAATTTAATTAGTGCTAAGGATGCCACAGCATAAAATGGAGCAAACTGTGCATGCAGAGCAATGTTTTGTGACCACATGTGAGCTGTCTGGCTCAGCATTGGTCTGGGCGTCAGTAGAACAGCACTCGCTTTCACCTGATGCGGATTTTCATTACACATCATGGTAACAGTTTTGAATCAGCGTGAGGTGGAGATCTGATAATAGGTGAAGGCAAGAGAGAGAGAGAGAGAGGATAGAAACAGAGAGAGAGAGAGAGAGAGGATAGAATCAGAAAGAGAGAGAGAGAGGATAGAATCAGAGTGAGAGAATGGAAACACAGAGAGAGAGAGAGAGACACACACATACACACAGATGGGTGGCAGAGAGCTGGAGAGAGTGAGAGAGAGAGACACACACACACACACAGATAGAGAAGGAGAGAGACAGATACACACACACACACACAAATTGAGCAAAAGAGCCACAGGCGGAGAGAAAGACAGACAGACACAAAGACAAACGCAGAGAGGGAGACACACACAAACATACACACTCACATGTGGGCAGAGAGAGAGAGAGAGAGACAGACAGTCAGACAATCAAGACACACGCACACACTGTTTTCATATCCCAGTCAGTCAACATATTGAGGTGCCCACTCTCCTCCAATACTCAGGCCCATCCAATGCCTTGTAAAGTACGTGGTTACAGTCAGCGCTATTGCACGACTCCCGTTACCATATGCAAAGCTTTGCTGAGGCTGATTAATTCCGTAGTACACAGTTTGCTATATTTTAATCTGTTGCCTCCCGCAGACCTAATTAAAATCCACTAATTTGAATTGCTGTCTGACTGAACATCTCTCTGGCTATAAAACCTCTCTGGCAGGTATATGTGCTTAAACATATTACTGCTGTAATGGAGTAACATCAATTGAATCTGCCTCTGCCTTGTTAGACAGGTAATAAGATGGGACAACTCAAAGCTGGTTTGCTGTTTGTGTGTAGGAGGAGAGGTTGTAAAAACTCATGTAATTTTCTGTAAAGTTAAGGTGCTTTTAGTACTTAATGTTTTGAGTCGTGTTTCTTTTTTTTCACATCTGGGGTTATAAATACTTATCGTCATCCTGCAGCTGAGACATTAAAACTACTGATGTCTGTAGTTACGAACTAATAATCCTTACATTTGATATAACGTCTCCGAGATGTCTCAAAGTACTTCACAGAATATGCTGTAAAGTGAATTGACTGTATATTTATGTGGGCGAAACTCGGCAGCCAATTGTGCACAAACAGTCGTGGATTGAGTGACCACATTATTAGATATATTTTTGAAGGGATTATTACCCCCGGAAAAGCGATCCGCCAATCGACTAACAACCGGGTTCCTACTTACTGCCAGGTAAACAACAACAACAAACAACAAATTTACATTCGTGTAGCGCCTTTCACGTCCCAAAGTGCTGAGGTGTATGGAGTAAGGGAACTTGCCCAATGTTTCCCCGCTGTGTGGGAATCGAACCCAGGTCCTCTCGCTTGCGAGGCGAGTGCTCTAACCACTAAGCTACTTACTGTTAATCCACCAATTGCCTACAGTCTGTGCCTGATCAGGTAGATGTTAAAGATCCCGTGGCACTGTTGGAAAACAGAATGGAGTTTCTCTCTCCCGGGGGCTCCTGACCACAATCCCCCAAATAAAATTGGTCACTCACTCCATGGCTGTTTTTGGGACAAATTGGCTGCCAACGGTCGCTAGCAAAATACACAGTCACTACACTTTACAGAGAATCCTGTAAAGCGCTTCGAGACATCCTCCTGATGTGAAAGGTGCTGTATTACAATGCAAGGATTATAATTATCAATTCTGATGAATTAACAACAATAATAATCTTTAGCCTTTAAGCCACTATGCTTGACAATAATCATCGCAAAGCGTTTTGAAATGTTTCCACGCTTACAGTATTTATTTTTCTTATCAATCAGTGGGCATGCGAGAAAGGTTCAGTCGCAAAACAGTCACTACGTTTGCCAATCCAGTAAGTCACCCAGTCTCTGTAGTCCCTTTGCCTGGTGTGTATGTGGGGGGTGTTGATGTGGAGAGTACAGACACACACTCTGTGATCTCCCCCTCTAACCTCATCTGCTCAGCAACTCTTGGGAGAGAAGGGTATAATTGACACTGGATAGACTTTAAAACCCATTTTCCACGAAGCAATTCAGTGACAGCAGATTAATGTGCTCAGGGTCAGACTGATATTACTTATCCAACGCTGTGCTGTTTACAGAGAGAAATCTCAATTCAAATTACCTGGCCTCTCATGGCCTATTCTAACACCTTCCACGAGGTGACGACATCAATGTGCGTACAATGTCAGCCTGGCTCAATCAGCAGAGCTCTCGCTCCGAGTCTGGAGGTTGTGGGTTCAAGCCCCACGTCGAGACTTTGAGCTCACACTCCAGGCTGACTCTGCAACACGGTGGTGCTGGGAGTGTGTGGGGTGAGTGCCACACTGTCGGAGGTCCGTCCTTCAGATGAGACTTTAACCCGAGCGGAGAAGGGAGTTTTTTTTCCTCCCTGGTGTCCTGACCAACAATCCCTCAGGTCTGTTTGTGGGATGTTACTTTGCACAAATTAGATGCTGTGTTTCCCTACAAACACACAACCACAAACAGACAGACGCACAAACACACACTCATGTGCACATACAGTCGCAGACAGGTACGTATACACACACAAATACACATACACACACACAGACACAAAGAACACAAACAGACAGACAGACACAAACCCATACACACATACATACAGATACGTATATACACACAAATATACTCACGCACAGACACGAGGAACACAAACAGACAGACACACACACAGACAGACACACACACACACATAGACAGACACACATACACACATGTGCGCCTATAATTAATCCATTATCCAATTATCTGAGGAAATGCACTCTCCTGCGACTTTGGAATCCTTTTCATTTGGATTCATTCTATAATTACGGCCCCCGTGTGCGCTTGAACCTGATGAGCTCATAGGCTATTAGCCCGACCCGTAAACTAAGACCGCATTATGTTTAGCATATTCCAGCAGTTACACTACTTAACACAACAGGAAACCCAGCTCTGTCTCTACACAGGATCGTTTAACATGCACTTAAACAGGCAGACAAGACCCCGCTTTAATATCTTGTCCTGTCGGCGCAGTGGCCCCCCCCCCCCCCCCATCGCCTCCAGAATCAGTGTCGATTGGCATTTGGCTGCTCTGCCCTCTCTTGCCCTACCCATCCGTCTGTCCAACCCTGTCTGTCTGACTGTCTGTCCGACTGTCTGTCTGACTGTCGTCTCCTGTCTGTTTGTCTTGGTCAGCCACGTGGCTGACACATGGAGAAACCCATACCGCGCTTGACTGAGAATTCCATGCATCGACACAGAGATTGTTGGAGTGGAATGCGCTCTCTCTCTGGATAGATACGTCCTGCAGGTGGGCAAGAGCCAAGGTTTGGAGACCCCAGAGTGTGGATTGGGGTAACTGCTAGAGTCTAACCAGCTAAAACCGCACAGTTTGCCATTGATATCACTGTCTGGCAAGTTTTCTCCCTACATGTCCAGCTAGGACCACCCAATCCTTTACGGCTTTAGCTGCAGGGTTAACAGGAGCTGAGTCGGAGAATTCCCTGCTCCCAGTCTCTGGTTGGCCCTTCCAGGTCCTGCCGATGACCAGGGCGGGCTGTGCTGTCATCAGCAGTGAGTGCCCTGGAATACTACAGCCCCTCCCGGCTCAGGAACCAGACTGGAGACCGGCACAGAGGGCTGACTCGATTTTGACATTCTGTTCCAGCCAGTCACTTTGGAACCAGTTCAGCTCTAAGGAAACCCCAATTACCTCCCCCCCACTCAATAAGCATCCTGCCTGCCTGTCTGCTTCTGTCTGTCTGCCTGTCTGTGTCTATCTGTCTGTCTGCCTGTCTGTGTCTGTCTGTCTTGTGCCTGTCAGTCGGTCGGTCAGTCGGTCTGTCTGTGAGTCTTGTCCTGTACTGTCCTTGGCTCTTTCCACTGATGTTTTTAATATCAACTGAAAAAAGGGGAAAGACTGTGAATTCAGCACCACGTCTAAAAATACAATGAACTTCACTGAATCATTTATATTTCAAAGATGATTCAATTTCACCTCAATGTCAAATCCATGATAAATGACCGGACGAAACTTTGTGGAGCAAAACCAGTAATGAAATACGGACATAAATACAAGCACATGTTAGGGTTTAAACATCTCATTTAACCGTGGCTCGATGCCCTGACCATGCCAAGAAAAGTATTTATTTTAATTTGGGTCATTTATAACCAACAGGGAAAAATATTTAAATAGTTGAGATTCTACAAAGGGACCCACCATTACTTTTCATTTGTTTTTTGCAATTCAGTCCAAGTGACGTTTTTAACGTTGAAAATAATGAATCTCCCCTACTCCCTCCCTCCCTCCCTCCCCAACGCCTCCCCCATCCTAATCAGTCACATCATGGGTTAGAGACAGAGTAAAGCTCCCTCCGCACTCCCAGGGTTATGTGAGGAGTTTTACTGCGTTATCTAACCTTTGCTGTAGTTCATTGTGTTCTGGGAGGGGATGGGATTTAACAGTATTAGGTGATGTTCTGGAGTGGGGAGGGGGGTTGGGAGAGGAGATGGTGAATCGCTGGTATTTGTTAAACCCGCAGAATAACAACACACAAAATGCTAAATCTCTTCCATTCACAAGACTGGAAATCAATACTGTTCTTCGTTTAATGAAATGGAGCCTAGTTTCAAACAGGCATTAGCTGTAAAGCAAGACCCATGTTTATACCTCCTACGGACAAAACAAAATTTATAAATAAAATCTAATTACTGAGGTGGGAAAACAAAGACAGCTGTGGCTTGGGTGTGGAGACAGACTGTCCCCTGTTCCTTCTTGTTGTGGGATGTTGCTGTACGCAATTGGGCTCCCATATTCACCTGCAATCACGTAGTCACATCACAATCAATCCTGATTAATAATAATAATCCTTGCATTTGATATAGCGCCTTTTCCAGTCTTTCAGAAGTCTCAAAGCGCTTCACAGTATATATTGTAAAGTGAATTGACTGTAGTTTGAGGGCAGCCAATTGAGCACAGCAGCGTCCCACAAACAGTCGTGGATTGAGTGACTCATTTTTTTTGAAGGATTATTATTTTCAGAAAAGCGATCCATCAACCGGGTTCCTACTGCCTGCTAGGTAAGCAGAGGCGTGCGGAGTAAGGAAACTTGCCTAATGTTTCGCCCTGCCCGGGAATCAAACCAGGGTCCTCTCGCTTGCGAGGTGAGCGCTCTAACCACTGAGCTCCAGGACTCCACAGTGAAGTGCTCTGGCTGTACGAAAAGGATTATTATCATTATTATATTGCACAGACCATTCGGCCCAACTAGTCCAGGCCGGTGTTTATACTCCACACAAGTATACCCCACCACCCCACCCACCCTCTCCCTCCCATTACTATGTAGAAGCTTGTCTTGTTCAAAGCTGCCTACAAAGCGGAAATGTAATCAGCTGCTTTCAGCAGCACTTAGAAGATGCTGTTTATTGCCGTCTCCCAAACAGAAATCCGCAGAAATAAGAGCTTTATTTGCACAAATCAATGAGGCCTGGCCGTGTGGTTATTTCCCGGCTATTTATTCCTGCGTTTCAGCCTTTTAATTCTGCGAACGCAGCAAAGATCCCGTCGCTCCCACCATTGATCTGCCCAGATCGGCAGCTCTCGTTCTGTAAGCGGATCTGACCCTGAGGAACAGGGAGAGAGTTACAAACTCTCTCTCTCTCTCTCTCTCTCTCTGTAAGCTCGGGGGCGCTGGACTCTGGCGGAGAGAGAGATCTGCAAAAAACGGCTAAGATATAACATACAACGCAAATAAATAGTCCTTGAGTTTGGTTTAGTGTCGTCGAGACGTTTAACACGCTTCACACGGTTTTACTGTAAAACGCTGATGGAGTATTTGGTAGGCAATTTGCTCACAGCAACATCCCACAAACAGCCATGAAGTAAGCAACCGATTAACACCTGGAGATTGTTGGCCAGGACACCGGGACAGAGAAACTTCTCTTCTCTTTTCCAACAGTGCCTCGTGGAATCTTTAACATCCACTTGAATAAGTTCAAGGATGTCATGTGCATCAAAGTGTCAGTCTCGACTGTGAACTCAGAGTAGGGTTCGAACCCATAACCTTCTGACCCAGAGCTTATTTCTTTGGTCAGCCAGGTGTCTGACCCGTGTGGAAATCCTTGACCACGCTGAAGAATATCCAAACCAAACTACATCCCACCGACCGATGGAAATCCCAGAGATATTCATTGGAATGGAATGGCCAGATACGTTCTTGAATCAGGTAAGCAGGTTGCGTCCCTCTGGGGGGAGAGACTGTGAATTTAGTGCCTTGGGACGTCCTCCAGGCATGAGAGGCACTCTACAAATGTAATTTGTTGCTGTTGTTGACTTCCATTCCAACAAACATCTCTGGTCCAGACAAAGGGCTGTGGTGCCCGCTTTACCTGTTGGAGGGGGTAGAGAAGATGGCCAGCACGATGCTATGCCCATTGATCTGGATAATGTCGGTCACGGCCTGCAGGATGTTGAAGTAGAAGTGGGAATCTCCGGGCACCGAGCAGTTCAGTCGGGCTTTCAGGAAGGATGTCCACTGCTTCTCGAGGACCCGCTGGGAGCCCCCCATGTCGTTCTTGCAGACGCGAGCAACTCGGGACAGGACCACCTGGGGAGGAGGATGGGTGGGGTGGGGAGGAGGCAGGAGGGAGGAGAGAGGGAAGAATTGTTGGTGAGACTTCGAGCTGAGGTGTGAGATGGAGGAACAACCAGATATACAGAGCAGCTCATTGGAATTGGGGGGGGGTCTGCTTACTCTAGGGATAGACAACCTCAGGCTTTGTCTGTGGGCTTCATATCTCCCTTCAATTTACTGGAGGAAGTGGATGGACAACCGAACCGAACCGAATCGGTGTAGTTTGAGGGTAGCCAATTGCGCACAGCAGCGTTCCACAAACAGTCGTGGATTGACTTGACGCTCCCTACCACCCCCACCGCCCGACCGACTCCTACGAAGCCAAACGAGGCTCTGGGCTCATCCGTACTTTGGGTCCTGAAAGATTGGCGTCTGCAAATACTTTTAATTCTGTAAACCAAGTTTTGGAAATGTGTTCCGGTCGCTCACAAATGGACTCAGGCCGGGTGTGAGCATAGGAGTGGGCAGAGCATTGCAACAACAGGAACAGGATCCATTAGGACCCAACTCTTTCACAGACCGTGTGTGACCTATCCTCTCGCAACCTCTACCCCAACTCTTTACACCATGATGTAGTTCCTTTACCCAGAGGGTAATTAACGGTTGTGATGGTGGGGGTGGGGGGAGAGTGAGTGGAGGGGGGGGGGGTTGTTGTGGCCAGGAAAGGTGGTTGAGGCCACGACTGGTTTAGGAAAGAACTCGGTGCTGTGATGGAGGGGGGGGGGAGGAGGGGGGAGACGGGGACAGCAGGGTTGGAGATGAGACCAGATGTGCCGAAGGGTCTTCTTCATCTGAACCGATCTGGCGATCTCAAGACCCACAAGGGGCTATTTGATCTGCACTTGTCCTTAACCCTCTCCCCGCCTCCCATGTCTTGTTCCTAATCAGCTATTGCCTCTCCTTTTAGACCGGGATAATAAATGCACCATCAAGCTCTTTTTTACTGAGAATCTCAGTTGCTCGGCAGGGAGCCTTATCCACCGACAATCTCTCCCGAGCATTGATCGAAGCTTGTTAAGTCTCTAAAACGAATCACATTTCGGATCAGACATAAACACACACGCGCACACACATGGGCTGGTACCTCTGATGAGCGCACAGGGCAATCAGAACACTGTCCCTCACCCCCTTTCCCACTTGTCGTTCCTTGTTGCCCCCCCCACCCCACCCACCACCCCCCAGGCAAAGCCTCCCCCACTTACCTTTTCTAGGTAGTTAAATTCCATGGCGATTTCCCGGAAAAAGAAGTAGACGTGGTGTCCGTACTCGACGGCGTGAATGAAATACGGTTCTGAAACAAGAACGGGTCAACCCAGATCTACATCGTCACTTATATTAAACATGGCACTAACAAGACTTATGTCTTGTTAACCAATTACACACACACAGATTGAATTATAGACTGGAAATCAATCGACTTGACTTTCACGTTACAATCGCAACGTCATTTCTGCTGCAGAAACGGAAATGGGCCCCAATGGCTTCCAGAGCAGAGATGCAGAGATGTAATGCAGTAGCTTGAATTTCTGATTCGTTCTGATCCCTTTCTTTAATACTGCTGAGGTTTAAGCCAAAGAAAACTAAATGAGAGTCCGACTGTGGGCATTGAGGTTTCCATGGTCTGGCTGAGCCTTTGGGGTAGAGGGTTGTGTTGGGATCAAGTCTCCCCCCCCCCCCCCCCAGTCACAGTCCAAGTTGACACTCCAGTGCAGTGCTGGTGGAGTGCTCTGTTGTTGGATCCGATGTTAAACTGAGATCCTATCTGACAGTTCAGATTAAAGGATGTTAAAAGATCCCACAGCGATGTTTGAAAAGAGAAGGGAGTTTATCCTGGTGTCCAGCCAACAATCCGGCAAATAGAATAGCTCATTTACTTCACGGCTGTGTGCAAATTGACTGCACATTTGCCTACAGAATGCACAGTAACCATACTTTACTGTAATATCTTGCAAACGCTTTGAAACATCTCCATTATGACGTCTGAACACAGTGATGGATTTCCGTGTTTGGGTGTCAGACACCCGGTGACGGGTTTCGGTGTGTGTCAGACACCCGGCTGGTCACGGTGACGGGTTTCCGTGTGTGTCAGACACCCGGCTGGTCACGGTGACGGGTTTCCGTGTGTGTCAGACACCCGGCTGGTCACGGTGACGGGTTTCCGTGTGTGTCAGACACCCGGCTGGTCACGGTGACGGGTTTCCGCGCGTGTCGGGCTGACTTACCCCTGAACCACTTGGAGTCGTGCTTCACTGTCCTCAGTGTTGGGCTTTCGCCCAGGCTTCGGTAAATAACGGCGTCGATGGCGAGGAAATCGGTGACTGTTCCTGTGAACAACTTATTATCTGCAAGAAAGAGAGATCGTGAATGTGAACCTAAACTGCACCGTGACCAGGCGGGTCATTTGCAACCCGGAGATGGGATTTTATGAATCCCAACCACGGGATCCACTGCATTCGCTCAACTTGGAAACACAGGACACTAGCGATCGACCAAGCTAAGGACGAATTTAATCATCTTAAAGTTCAAGGCAAATCGGTCTCACAGGCCGAGGTTGGGTAGAGTTTCTCGACTGCAGAGCGATGTGCTCAGTGAGGAAACTGAGGGTCTCGGTCTGGATCGTGGCAGCGGATCGGAGGCTCGTGCCTTATATAATAACAATTTATAATAATATGATGTAATAATTACCGGCGAAGAGGGCGACATTCGCTTGTTTGGGATCGTATGGACATCGGGCCATCCCGCTGATGCTGTCCCCCAGAGGCTCCATGGTGTCTATCTGAAATGAAACAAGGACTGAACTCGTGGCGTGAGGTTGAGGTGACGTGACGCTAGATTTCGCTCTCAACTGAATTGAGCCGCGGCACGCAGCCAAACCCGCAGCCGTGACGTGAGCGGGTTAGGTTGCCCGTGCACAGCCGTGAGTTACCCGAAAAATCGCATAATTGGACAACCCACCACCGGTTGTGGGGACGCTGCTGCGCGCAATTGGCTGCAGCGTTTCGCCCAAAGATACGCAGTCAATCCGCTTTGCGGTATATTCTTGAAGCGCTTTGAGACGTCTCGAAGATGCAATAAGGCGCCCAATCAAATGCGAGGTTTATTATTATGATGATGTGTATTGTTATTATATCCCAAACAGCAATATAACAGAACATATTATAAAAACAGCGCTGCACTGAAATCCACATCTGGACATGCAATGGTGACTTACCGGGGAAGACTGACATTCTAATTAATGAGGGCCATTATCCATCGTGTAAATATTTGTAAGTTAATCAGAACATACTTACTGGATAGCAGCTTCGGGGCAGCTGTGTATTTTGGATCCTAACACTGATGGTCTACAGTTACAGGACAACTCGCTGGGAGATCAGTCGGGGGTGGAGATTCTGGACGGATGAGATCGGAGGCACCGAAAGGGCGTTTTTTGTTCATCCGAACCAATCTCGTAAACTTTAGAACCAACAACAACAACTTTGCGTGTATATATATACAGGAGCAGCGTCTCGGAGCGTTTTATCGTGCTTAAAAAAACGCTCCAGGACGCTACCCCGGGTGAAGGGCGCTATATAAATGCAAGTTGTTAATAAAATGGCTGACTTCCAAGTCATCAAACCAGCACTTCCTGTGAGTGTTTGGGGCACCTAAGGAATGGGGGGGTGGGGGATGGGGCGGGAGCTTGAACCCACAACCATCTGACTGAAAATAGAGAGGGCTACTAACTGAGATTTTAAAGCAAAAAGGGTCTGACAGACTCAGGCCAGGTTGAATTTTGGGGCTCGGGAGAGAAGGTGCAAGTGAGTAGAAAGTGATAAAGAATGTTAGACAAGACAATGGTGGAGGTATTCTAAGAGAGAGAACCTCCAACTGAGCCAGGCCGACACCAAACCCCCTCAGCAGGGAAAGTAGGGTTAGAGCAGGTCTGAACAAGGCCACAAGGCACCACCACTGAGCATAAGAACATAAGGATTTCTGGACGAAAGAAACCAAGGTCATTCCAGTTCGCCTTCCACCATCCTGGCAGTCACATGTACATGTCGCTTCCCAAACTCTACTGTATCCCAAGATATTATGCCCTGAAAGAAATCCATCTAATCTCTCTCATGGCTCATGGGCTATGGAGCAGATTGTAGCAGTGGGCCATGGAATGTCTGTGTGTGGGCGTGGGGAGGGTGGGGGGGGTGCAGGCTTGATGGGCTGAATGGCCTCCTTCTGTTCCTAGCTTTCGTTGCGTCGTAACTTAACGCTCAACGGGATGAAGGATTATCCTGCTCGACTCCCACTTTGGAAACTCTCCGGGCATTTGGCAAGTTGTCAGTTTGAGTGAAACAGACGAGAATGAAAGCTTAATAACTACCCAATTACACTTAGATCTGAAACAGGAACGTACACTTATGAGTGTGTAATCTAGTGTGAAAAAACATCTTGTTCCCTCTCAGAGGCCTGGGCTCCGTACATCATTTATGAAGGCAGCGATTAAAAAAAAAGCCACACGAGGGATTGCCGTCAGCTTTGCTCCTCGGGTCACAAGCCCCCGAATCCTGAGAGCCCTCATCTGCTGCGCGCACATGCGTGTGCAAAGCGACAACCGGCTCCATTAACATGCCACGGGCAAACCATGTGTAAACCCGGGTGCATTGGGCGTGTGAAGCCACGTGTAAAGACATCAATCATTTTCGATCCGTGCTTATTAGCTAATTAGGAGCATCTGTAATTCTACTTGTGCACATATTTACACATGGCGTGGAATGCTCATGACTTTACAAGTGGTGCCTCATTAAGCCTGGCTACCGCGTTTCGCCCATAAAATACACACAGACGCAGCACTTTAAAGTAAATAAGCATTGTGAAGCGCTTTGAGACACGAGGCACATTCCCTCGATGATGTGATAAGGGGCTGTAATCAAATGCGACAATTATTATTGTTATTTGGGGGAATTGTCGACCAGGACACCAGGACACCTGAACAGACACAGACGGGTTTAACTAGAATATAGTGATAATAGAGCCTGGGCCCGTCATCAAGATGTCTCAAAGTTCTCCACAGGATACACTGTAACATGTAGTGACTGTGTCTATCTGTAGGTGAACATGGCAGCCAATTTGGGCACCGTAATTAGCCATGGAGTGAGTGGCCATTTCTATTTGGGGGAATGTTGGCCAGGGAGAGAGAGAGAAACTGCCTTCTCTTTTCGAATAGTACCATGGGATCTTTACCATCCACCTGGACAGGCAGACGGTTTGTAGTCTCACCAGAAGGATGGCACCTCCCAATGTATCCCACCCCTGAGCACTGACTGGGACATCAGCTGAGAGCAAATTGGGTTTCAAGATAAAATTGGTCACTCACTTCGGTGTTTGTGGGGACATTGAGGTGCACAAACTGTACTGCTGTCTTCTACAAATCCACAGTCACTACACCTCACAGTAAAATCCTGTGAAGTGCTTTGACAGACGTCTCAATCGACGTGATACAGCGCTTTATCAAGTGCGAAGACTGTCGGGCTTATTGTTATAGAGAAGGACAGGAAGAGAGCAGCATGGCTTGTACACACGATAAGTGATTGACTGACTGACTTATTCCCCCTCTTATCCACGTCCAACCCAATGTCAGTGACTATCAACACTCGGCCCACAACCCTTACCCAGTTCCCAGCCTCAGACAGACCCAGACTGACAAGCCCTTTGTGTGGCAGAGAGGCCCAAAAGGAAACACAATCCTCCCAGCCCTAGTGCGAGTGAGCTGATTCACTGAAGTCATTCTCACATTCCCGGCATAAACACAATTGGCAAACTCTATCCTAACTGCTCGTCCTTTAGAAATGGCAGGATCATGTTCAAGCCTCCCTTTATGCTCCTGGCATTCTCTCATCAGAAATGTAAACCCAGCCTCGAAACAGAAGGAGAAAATCCTGCGGGTTTAATTAGCCGCGCTTATAAAATTTTAACTGGCGGAAATTTTCACACTATAGAACTTTGTATGAGTTATGGTCTTTTAGGCGAATTAAAAGTAACCCTATCCCTGCTCGTAGGAAGACAGGAGACGTGTTTAATTAGAGCTAAAGGCTGCGGAACGTGCCGGCCCCTCTCTGCCCCACGAGGGGTTAACGAGGCGCTCGGCTGAGGCACAAGAGCAGCGTGGATGGGCCTCCTTGGATGGAGAGCGCGTTTCCCCCCACCTTTCCTCCCTGTATCGGTGGGGGCAAGTCAGCAACTTGTTGCCACGATGGTAATTTCAAACTGTCTGGAAATTGTCAAATTATTGATTGAGTGCCTCGATTTTGAAGCAGGTATCATGGAATAATAATCATCAGAATCCTTGAATTTGATACAGCGTCTTATCACGTCGTCGAGACGTCTCAAAGCGCTTCGCAGAATATACCGTGAAGTGGAGTGACCGGGTATTTTGTGGGCGAAACGCGGCAGCCAGTTGAGCACAGCAGCGTCCCCACAAACTGGGCCAAGTGACTGTTAAGTTCTTTTTACGAAACTTCCGAAAACTGACTGCAACCTCAGCGCTGAATCTGAGAATTGGCCAAATTCTGGACGCCCTAGAACGTAGGCCTAGACCTGGGCAGAATCTCTCCCCGCAGGTCCTTTCCCCAAACTCCTAATTATCTCCAGCATCAATGCCTCAACTGGTCCAGCTTCTCGCTCTCAATCTCTCTCTCTCTCTCTGGTGGGAAGCCATGTGGCACTGGGCAGGTGGTGAAGGTGATTTGCCAAAGTGGTTAGTTTTTCTGCGGGTTTCAAACGCGACGCTGCGGTGGGATCTCGGTGACTCACTGAGTAGTTGGCGCAGACTGGGTTGAAAGCGTTGGTTCCGCACATGAAGAGAGTGTTCTTATTCCTCCTCAGGAGCACCTTGACGAAGTTCCGACACTCGGCCTGTCCAGAAACAACAGCACCCTACAGGTCACATTTATGTCGAGGTGCCTTTCACGTCAGGGTTGGGGGTGGCGGGGGGGTGGGGAAAAGGTGTTTGAAAGCACGGTCAAAGAGGTACATTTGAAGGGGGGGGGAAGGAGGGAGAGAGTGAGTCAGTCAGAGGGAGAGCAAGCGAGTGAGCGAATGAACGAGCGAGTCAGAGGGAGGGATGGAGTAAACACATTCTAAACTCAACGCGCTCCCTGTAGCAGAGGATCGAGATGGAGTGGCTGAAAGCACAGGCGCTGACGGCAGAGTGGAGGGGTCGATGGATGTGCAGAAGCTCAGAGCTGGCTCAGGACGGGGGCAGGTGGAGGAGTCGGGTATCATAGAAGGAGGACACTTGGTCAACGGTCTCTCTGCCGGCTCTTTCGAAGAGCAATCCTTTCAGTCCCACCCGTACCTGCCTTTTCCCCCATGCACCTCAGTACTTGTCAGAGCCTGGCTCAGCCTTGCACAGAGAGTGCGTCAGGTACGGTACGCCAGGCGAGGAGAACAAGGAGAGTACTAACACGGGGCTCCATTGCTCGGCTGACTCCCCATCAAAGGAAGTTCGGACACGAAAGCTGTGTAATGGGATTAGTAGATTCAATTTTCCTGATATTAGGCCAGGCTCCGCTTTGATCACCCGGCCACAATCAATTAGACACAAAACCAATCAGATGTCCGGCTAATAAATCATGTCTGGCAACTATAATCCTGGGAGGTAATAAAAACCGGAAGATGCCGGGATTTGAGGGGAGTGGGAAGGCGGGAGTTTGCTGACACACGTACCTCGGCTTTGCCCTTTCATCCTGCAGATGTCAATGTCGTGTTGATTTGATCTCCACGTTAGTTTCTGTGGAGTAAAGGAAACTGTAGGATTAGAGACAGTTCAGATGGATGTTAAAGATCCTGTGGAGCTGTGTGAAAGGAGAAAGCAACTTCTCCTACTGTCCAGGCCGACCTTTTCTCACATAAAATTGGTTGCGGATATTTGTTGGACTTTGCTCCGTGTTGGCTACTGTGTTCACCCACAAAACTTACACAGTCACCACACATTGCTGTAAATACTGTGAGGCGCTTTGAGACGTCCTCCCACCGTGAAAGGCGCTGTGTCAAATGTAAGGATTATTATTATTGTTAGCATGAAGCAGAAGGCACTAGGTGTCAACCTGGCTCAATTGGGGTAACACTTTCGCCTCACTGAGTCCCCCCTACTTTCACGATCTCCTACAACCCTCCCTACCCAGCTGCGCTCTTCGGTCAGTCTTATCCCCCGGCCATCGTTGGCAGGTGGGCTTTCAGGGATGCACAGGTGTGCTGCATTGTTGCATGTGCTGAACTTGGGTGAGGTCTTAAACCGAGGTCTCATCTGCCTGTCCAGGTGGACAGTCGAGATCCCATGGGCACCAGTCAAAAAGAGAAGGGAGTTTCCCTCTCCTCGTGTCCCGGCTAACAATCCTCCAGATAAAATTGGTCATTCACTCAACAGCTGTTTGTGGGACATTGCTGGGCAAAATGCATTTGCTACAAAATACTCAGTCACTGTACGCTGCAGGAAAATCCTGTGAAGCCCTTTGAGATGTTTTGATGGCGTTTTGATAAAGCTCCATTTCAAATGCAAGATGTACGACTTTCTTACAAAGCCACAGCCTTTTCCCGGCAGGGCAAAATGTTGGGCAAGTTTCCTTAGTCCACACGCCTCTGTTTACCTAGCAGTAAGTAGGAACCTGGTTAGTCATTTGACGGATTGCTTTTCCGGGGGTAATAATTCCTTCAAAAAAGTAAATAAATAAATTGGCCCCTCAATCCACGACTGTTTGTGAGACGCTGCTGTGTGCAATTGGCTGCCGTGTTTCGCCCACAAATATACAGACAATTCACTTTACAGTATATTCTGTGAGGCGCTTTGAGACGTCTCGAAGGGTTATTATTATAGCCTGAATATATTTGCCTAATCCGGTTTATCGGGGGCATATTCTTCCTATTTCAGCTTCACAGGGATGTGGTTTCTGCCATAAAGCACAAAGTTGCACAAAGCACCCTCCGAGCCCTATAACTCGGTTTCCACCTCGGAGCTTCAGACAGATGGAAACCACCATTAATCACATGCATTTACACTGCACTACCATAAGGCACCAACCAACCCGAGAATGTAGGTTAATCCAATGCAGGAAGCATGTGCTTCCAGTCTCATCCCAGACAGAATGATATTGGAGACGAGACCTCCCCCCTGCACAGTCGGTTTGGAGACTGTGGGTTCAAGTCCCGGGTATGTAGCTGGCACTTTCAGCTCACAGTCCAGGCTGTCACTGTGGGGGGAACCTCGCGAAAATAATAATTGGTCACTCAATCCACGCTACTATGTGCAATTGGCTGCCGCGTTTCACCCACATAAATACACAGTCAATTCACTTTACAGTATATCCTGTGAAGCGCTTTCGAGACGTCTCGAAGACGTGTTAAGGCGCGATATCAAATGCCAGGATTAATATTATTGTCGCAGGCGATATCTTCGGGTGTGACATTGAAACCGCGCTCGCCCTATTTAGTTCAGAGTGAAAGATCCTGTGGTACAGTTCGAAAGCCTTATCACGTCTTTGAGACGTCTCAAAGCGCTTCACAGGATACAGTGTAAATTGAATCAACTGCGTATTTTGTGGGCGAAACATGACGGCCAATTGCGCAAAGGAGTTAGAAATGAATTAATCAGACACTAATTAGAAACTAGGGTTTCTAGTCATTCACCGTATAATTGTTTACAGGACCTTTGCCGATGCTGAGTTTCGACGGATACTGAACTCGACTGCTCAGTATTCACAGGATTCGCTGTCAAGTGTAGTGACTGTGTATTTGCACGGGAAACCTGACGGCCGATTTCTGCTCAGGGACATCTCGTAAAGAAAGCCACAGGGCACTGACGCAATAAGTTCTTTAAGAAGCGACTGAAAGGGTATGAATCTCAGAGGCAGCTCTCTCTCTCTCTCTCTCTCTCTCTTCCAGTCAGTCAATCATTTTACTCGAAATCTTCGACACGCTCATTTAACCTGCCTTTGTGCTCTCCGCAATCTTCGCTGCTTGGCGCGAGAGGACCGGGAAAACGGTGATTGATGCTGCTGCTTGAGAGGGAGGCAGACGCCTTTCTGTGCAGGATCTCAACCGGGGAATAAAACACAGAGTTTCCAAACTGCTTCCAAATTGAGATTGTGGTAGGTTGTCAGCCTGTGTCGTGACAACCTCTCCAACCTGACAAGACAATGTCGAACAAAAGCCTCTGACAATGTGACACTCCCCCAATGCCACCCCCCCACCCCAACTCTGCCAACTCCCCCACCACTGCACTGGAGCGTCAGCCTGGACTATAAGCTCGACACACACAACCTTCCGACCTTGCGAGGAGCCTACAGATCACACGGTGAGACATCTGACCGACAACCCTCTTCGACTGCGCGTTTGGTCACTCTCCTATCCCTACCCTCCCTGCCCTCCGCGCCCACCCCCCCTTCCCCCCCTCCTGCTCCTCCCCCAATCCCAAGTTTCCCAGCTGTCTCAAATGAAAGGATTATGACGACGACGATAATTATTACCACCGCAACGATACGCACAGTCACTACACTCCAGGCTCCAGGGCAAAATCCTGCGAAGCGCTTGGGAGGCCCGACGGGAGGCGGCGGAAAGACGCGAGGATCATCCTCGACGCAGCTTCTGTCGGCAAAGCTGACCCCCCGGCGCGTCGTGTTCGGTGCTACGACAGCTGCCATGGCCACTGACCGCTGCGTTAGGGCTGCTTTTGATGATTAATAATGAGTTGGGAACCTCGTACAATTCACCGGGTGGGCAGGGGGCAGGGGGTGGGCGGGCAGGGGGCCGGGCAGGCAGGGGGCGGGCAGGGGGCAGGTGGGCGGGCAGGGGGCCGGGCAGGCAGGGGGGCAGGGGGTGGGCGGGCAGGGGGCCGGGCAGGCAGGGGGGCAGGGGGTGGGCGGGCAGGGGGCCGGGCAGGCAGGGGGGCAGGGGTGGGCGGGCAGGGGGCCGGGCAGGCAGGGGCAGGCAGGGGGCAGGTGGGCGGGCAGGGGGCCGTGCGGGCAGGCAGACAGGCGGGCAGGGGGCGGGCGGGCAGGGGGGGGCGAGTGGTTGAGGAAATTTTTCTTTAAGATATTTCATAGAAACCCGACGGTTAAATTGCCGCAGACCGAGGCTGCCAAGAGTCTGCGGAGAGTTTCGCTGATTATTTACAGGGACTCTCTCCCCCCCCCCCCCCACCCCGCTGCAAATCGGCACAGCGGCCGCGGATATTCCCCCAGGAGTGCGCGGGGGAAAAGACGCAGCAATTCATCCAGTTATTTTGCACGAAATGCGCGACGCGGTTCATCGCAGCAGTTTGCGGAGTAGATAAATATTTGAGTGAAAGACATCTGGCGTCTGTCTAACTTACGAGCGTCACAATAAAAAAAAGGCTTTGTAAACCGGCGGGTGGATAAATAATAAGTCATAACAACAATAAATAACAACAATAATAATGGTCTGTGCATTTGACGCAGCGCCATTCGGTCGAGGCATCTCCAAGTGCCTCACGGGATCGACCTGTAAAGTGTAGTGACTGTGCGTTTTGTAGATTGCCCCGTGAGACGATTTGTACGCAGCGAAGACAGCTCGGAAGAAGCAAGCGAACAATTTTTATCTTGGAGGTTGTTGGGCCGGGGAGAGCGGGAGAGAGAAATTCCCTTCTCTTTTCGAATAGAGTTGCGGGATCTTATAAGAAGAGGTGGTCGTGAGCTCAGGTTAAGGTCTCATCTGAAGGAACGGCACCTCCACCAATACAGAGCTCCTCACAGCACTGAAACAGACCCCCAGCTCAGCCTAGGCTGCGAGCTCAACATCACGACATGGGGCTTGAACCGCAGACACAGGCAGGAAGAGGGGCATAATAATAATAATCATAATCATAATCACAATAATAATCCTTGCATTTGATATCGCACCTTATCACGTCGTTGAGACGTCTCAAAGCGCTTCACGGACATATTGTAAAGTCGGGTGACTGGGTATTTTGGGGGCGAGACGTGGCAGCCAATTGCGGACAGCGGTGTCCCCACAAACAGTCGTGGATTGAGTGGCCACATTTTTTGGGGGTGGGGTGTGTGTGGGGAAGAATTACATTTTTATTAGTTTATTATTTATTTTGTTGTTGAGGGATTATTACCCCTGGAAAAGCCATCCCGCCAATCCATTAACAACCGGGTTCCTACTTACTGCCGGGTAAACAGAGGCGCGTGTGTGGAGTAAGGAAACTTGCCTAAGGTTTCGCCCTGACCCGCCCGGGAATCGAACCCGGGTCCAATGGCTTGTGAGGCGAGCGCACTAACCTCCACGCCATCAGGGTGGGGGGGGGTTCAGAGTGTGGAAATTACAAGAGAGGAAAGATCAGGGGTTTAAACCTCACAGATTGGAAGCAAGCAAATATTGTTCCCATATTCAAGAAGTGACAGAAGCCCCCCCACATTTCCCACCACCATCTCCCACCACTATCTCCTCCCCACTATCTCCCCCCACTATCTCCTCCCCACTATCTCCCCCCACTATCTCCCCCCACGATCTCCCCCGCTATCTCCCCGCCACATCTCCCCCCACTATCGATAGACTAATTGGCCTGAACACAACAATTGGATAAATGATGGCCGTCAATCATCAGAGAGACAACGTCAGATCACATGTCGAAGGGCCTTGGCTGTCACACAGAGGAGGCCGAGCGATGCTGCGGAGAGCGAGAGAGAGAGCGAGAGAGAGTGAGGGGGATGTCATCGGGAGGAATGTTTCAGCTGCAGCTTTGAACGGAAACTCGTAAACATAAATCATGCA